GCTTCTAATATAATTAGTTATGTTATTTCTTATCAAATTCATTTTGTTTGGGACAATTGGGATGTTAATCAGCCCTCACAGCTATATAACAATTTTTGGCACCCTCCTTCTGAATGGATTAAAGTAAATATTGACGCATCTATGTTAAGATCTAATGAAGAAAGAATTTGAGGCATTTTGAGATATCATCGAGGTAGATTCTTGTTGGCATTTGATTTTAGTTGTTTTCATTAGGAAATTGCTCAATTGAAGATGTTGGCAATTCATTCTTTGGAGGTAAGAATGCAAGAATGGATGTTTGAAGCTAAGGGAATTAAAATTTAAAGTGATAATTATAATATTATCAAGCTTCTTCAAGGTTCTATGGTAAAAGATAAATTGAAGAATGAATATTTTTGGAGGGAGGAGTTGTCTTGTTAAAGGAGTTCAATCAAGTTTTATTTCATATAATAGAAGATGTAATAAGTTAGCCAAGTTGTGTGCAAACCTTTCTATTTTTAGTGATTTCTATTAGGATGATGTTAGTTATAATAATATTCCTCCTTTTTTATTTCTTTGTTAGAGGAATGTGAAAAAATTTCTTTCTTTTAGTAATTTATTTAGGTTTCATTATTAATGCAATTTTCTTATTAATGCAATTTGTAGATTTAAAAAAAATGGTTGCATGTCTTACTAAATCATACAATGATGCATGCATATATTGATAGCACTGATGACATTAATATATATATTAATATCATTGATAAAATTAGATGCATTGATAATACATAAAAATATGATGCATAAGAATGGATAAGATAGATTCCTTTAGTGATTTATGAATAATTTTTCACAATTGTTTTGCTGGTTTATTAAATTTTATATCAAATATTGATTTTTAGATTCATTGTAATAATTTCATGCTTATATTATTAATAATTTTAAATTTTATTGATAATATTTGGTCATTAATTTTATTGTCAGCTATTGATTATATTATATGAGCATATCATATTGATTATTTAATCATTACATTGAAAGCTTTAGTGAATTTTAGATTATTGTTTGGCTTTTGAGCTTATTATGTAGATTTTAATGATTTTATGTTAGAAAAGGGGTCAGGACTAGTTGAAATGAGATTGTTAAAGATCCTCATATTTTTTAAAATTTTGTTATGTATTTTCTTTAATTTTTTTGTAAAGTGATCTCCTAGCTAGTGTAAATGATATTTTTGGTGAATAAATAATAAAAATATCTTGATGTATATGATTTTAGTTACTTTTAGTGGTTATTATTTATATTCATGATTTATAGAAGCTTTCGTATATTCTTAAGATAAAAATAAATATATATTTTTTTAATTTCGTTCTAGGGCATTTTAATTATGGCATAAATTCTTGAGGGAAATCTTGGGGGTGATATTTTTCTAAAATGGGTATATTATAATAATCCAAAAAAAATTGAAATTATTCTTTTTATATGAATTTATTTATATTGAATATAATTGATTATTTTCCACTACATTTTAATTATGGCATTTGCATAATCAAATAAAAACTATCTGTTAACACTATAAAATGGGTTGACTATTAAAATATAATATGTTGTGCAGGAGGGTTGGCCAACGCGCTTTCCTTTAAAGATGATTTATGATGTTTATCCTAGTTGTAACAAGTAACAGATGATTTACACCGACGGATAGAGAGTGATGATTCCTAATTGATTTAATAAAGTCATATATAATGATAATTGATTAGTTGGATAAGTAAAAATTGATATGATTGATAACTAATTGAGAATCAGTCGAGTACAAGATGTTGAAAAATAGCACATAAAAGCTAGATGTCCTACTTTACTAAATCATATATTGATGCGCGCATCCATACATTAATAACACTAATGATATTAATAAAAATATTAATATCATTGATAGAGTTGAATGCATTGATAATATTTAAACAGATGATGCATATGAATAGATAAGATAGATTCATAAAATGATTTACAAATAATTTTGCACTGTTGTTTTACCAATTTATTGAATTTTATACCAATTATTAATTTTTAGATTCATTTTAATGATTTTCTATTTTTATTGTTAATAATTTTAAATTTTATTGATATTATTTGGTCATTAACTTCATTGACAACTATTGATTAAATTAGATAGAGCAAATCATATTGATTTTTTAGTCCTTGCATTGAAAGCTCTAATTAGTTTTAGATTACAATTGTGCTTTTAAGTTCATTATATAGACTTTAATGATTTCATGTTAGGGAAGGGGTTAAGACCAATTGAAGTGAGATTGTCAGAGATCCTCAAGTTTTATTTTGATCTTATTATGTATTTTTTTTTATTCTTTTGTAGAGTGATCTCTTGACTAGTGCAAATGATATTTTGGGTGAATAAATAGTAAAATATATTGATGTATATGATTTTAATTGCTTTTGTTGGTTACTGTTTATATTGATTATTTATATAAGTTCTGATATATTCTTAAAATGATAAATAGACAATTATTTTCAAATTTGATTCAAGGGCTTTAGAAATTAATTTAAAAGCGGTTGTTTGAAGAATTGGATTATAATAACCACTTATAGGAATTGATTTATGAGTGGGATAGTTGGGTATTATAGATTTGTCATTTCTATATTTAAATGATTAAGTTATGACTCGTGATTTATTTTGATTCGATTTGAGTTTTGATTTTACGGATTTTTTTATATTAATTTTGTGCTCAAATCCTTAAGAGAAATGTCGAGTATGACAGTTTTTAAGGTGGAAATATTGTAATAATTTGAATTTTTTAAAATGTTTTTTTTTTTGTATAACTTTTTATATTACACAGAATTAATTATTTCCTACCACATTTTGATTGTGGCATTTGCATAAGCAAAAAAAATTAGCTCTTAACACTATAAATGGATTGGCTATTAAAATATAATATCTTGTGTAGGAGGGTAGGCCGACGGGCTTTCCTTCAAAGATTGTTTGTGATTTTATCCTAATTATAGTATGTAACAAATGACTGATTACATTGATGGATAGAGAGTGACGACTCTTTATTGATTTAAAGGACCCACCTGTAATAAAAATTGATTAATTGGATAAGTGATAATTGACATGATTGATAACCAACTAGGAATCAATTGGGATAAAAGATGTTGAAAACACTATGTTAAAGTTAAATGTCCTACTTTGCTAAATCATACATTGATGCATTCATACATTAATAATATTGATGACATTGATAGATACATTAATATCATTAATAGAACTCGATGCATTGATAATACCTAAATAGATGATGCATATGAATAGATAAGAGGATCTTTTTGTGATTTATAAATAATTTTTACACCGTTGTTTGATAAATTTATTGAAGTTTATACTAATTGTTAATTTTTAGATTCATTGTAATGATTCTCTGCTTTTATTAATGATCATTTTAAATTTTATTGATAATATTTGATCATTAACTACATTGACTTCTATTGATTATATTAGACTCCGCATGTCAAATATTCTTTAGTCCTTGCATTGAAAGCTTTAGAGAGTTTTGAATTACAACTAGGCTTTTGAGCTCATTATGTAGATTTTAATGATTTTATAAGTTAGGGAATGAGTCAAGACCAATTGTAGTGAGATTGTTAGATATCCTCAAGTTTTTTTTTATGTTATTCTGAATTTTCTATTATTCTTTTTTAGAATGATCTTCTAACCAGTGTAAATGATATTTTGAATAAATAAATAATAAAATATCCTAATGTATATGATTTTATTTACTTTCACTGGTTATTGATTATATTGATGATTTATAGAAGCTCTAGTATATTCTTAAAATAATACATAAAAAATTCTTCCATATTTGATTTTAGGGTGTTACATTTCGACCTCCATAGCCTAACAAAAATTCATTCGACATCAATCACCCAATTATAGTACCTCTGACTTTCATTGTCCGACTACAGCCCATTCGACTACTATCACTCAACCATGATCTCTCCAACCACCGTCATCCAATTACAATCCTGCCAACCAAACAAATAAGTCGAACTATATCTTTAAAACAGCTCTTATGCTAGTGAATTCTTCCATTTCAAGTCATGTATATAATACATATTTGATATATCATGCCAATGTTTTCTCCCATGGAAGGGCATTGTTTATAATCAATGACAAACACTAATAAAATCATTTCAACTACGCAATGCTCCATAATTTTTCCACCTTTCAGGATTTTTCACATAAAAAATTAATTGTCGCTTATAATTTTTGCATCCCTTTCTCTTATTTATGATTCTATCCCTCTACCACAGCAAATGTGTCATGACACGCAACAATATCCATTTACTACTAACCATTACTATCACCATATGATGACAACTATTAGCTATAACACAAGCTCAAACAAACCGTCAAATAACACAAGAAAACATGTCCAAAGCATAACAAAATAATATACACGCTTGAAAAGTTATTAACCCAAGTTAATCCATTTCCATCCTTCTTCAAGTTGATAGTTCTTTAGACATAGTGCTTCACAATCCTGATGGGATCTTGGCAACGCGATGCGAGCTAGAGCATGACATTGATGTTCATATCACAACAACAAATTAAAAACATGTAATATACCCAAATTATCGCCAACTTAACCAGCCAAATTTGATCTTAAATAGCATAGCCTTTTCCAGATATCGCATCAATGCCTCCAGCAGCAATACCAAGATCGAACATTAGGTGAATGTACACAAAATCCTCACTTTGTTGGGTAGTAATGGAGAAAAATAACCAATTATAAACACAATTTAATGATTAAATACGCAAATTGGGGAGTTTAATTGGCTAACATATGATGTATAATTTTAAATTTCAAGTATAAGTCAATTATTGGATTTGTTTATATTTTTAAATAATAATTTATGAAGGATGTCTCAATCCTATTAAGTGGCATCTAAATGTTGACCAATTTTGACAGCTAAACATTACATTCTAATTAAAAAATTGTTTACAAAAATCATTAAAAAAAAATAATACCTTGCGTACTTCAAGAAAGCAATTAATCAAACATATTACATTTACGGATCAAAAAGACAACCACCTATATAACATCAAAACGAAGCGCCCTTTTAATTGATTACCAATGTTAGAAACTACTGTTTCCTATCATTATGTAACCACGTATGTGACCAATTAACTAAACCCAGGGATAAAATACTTTAAAGAAGATGGAGAATTAGGAAAGAGAAGATGGAGAATTAGGAAAGAGATATGGCTTTGCATAGACCACCGACCACCACCAAGATTAGAAAATCTGAACGGTTTACCAGATTATGAAAGACAGCGTGATTCCAGCACATTTCACAGGAAGCTATACTCATAAACATCTAAAGATATAACTTCAGCTCCCAGCTACTTCCTTCTCCTTTGCCCGGGACATCTCATCCGCCGACTTGATGAAGTGCTTTGTGATCTCTTCAATCTGATCAAGAAAAATAGGAGTACTTGTTTTTAATACTAGACCAAAAAGAATCATGGGGGAGCGCAATGCAGTATATAATTACTTCTTTCTCCAATCTTTTCACATCATCTTTTGGAATGCTTGATGCTGACTTCTTTATTGTATCTAGAGCCTGCAATATCCGAAATTGATATGACATGAGAAAGGCTTTAATACAATCTTGTAATTTTACATATCTAAAACGCAAACGAAAATTAAAAACTATATACATGGTTCTTCAAAGTTTTGAAGCAAAGAAAAAACTTTTGAGCAAAATGTCTTTAGCATCGAAGCTTGGTATTATCACTAGGATAGACTAAATAAAGGATAGACTAAATAAATTAAACTTTTCTTCGCACAAGGGAAGAACAAGTTTGAATGTTTGTTTATCATTTCATTATATGTGGAAAAAGTTATAAATCATAATTCTGTAGATAAGCATCCCTCCACCCAAAACTGCATACGAAGAGAGGCGAGATGCTAGCCTATTATCATCGAGGCGCTAATTTATTAAAAAAATTAATAATAAGATTATTATCAATTTTTAGCTATTATTTTAAATAGGATTTATTTTCCTAAAAATAATCACTTATAATTGATTATTTTTCAATCATTCATGAATTCAAATAATGAATCAAATGGAATAAAGGACTTCATCCCGCACTCTCTAGCTTGACCCCTTTTCTCCCGTATCTTTAACTACTGAACTAAGCGCCCTTCTCATCCTTTCAAGGAAAATAGTCCATTGGGTGCAAGGTAAGGCAAGGAAGCCAGGAATACAAAGAAAAAATTCAAACGAACAACATAATAACAATTAAACTCAAATGAAGAGTCCTCTTTAGATTGACAAATAATCAATCTCTTATTTTGTTATATTCAGTCATCTCTCCTCAAAAAGGTAACACCTCTTCCGTCCATACCAAATTCAATACAGTTGTTTATTTTTGCCACATTATTATAAGAAAGCCTATCTTATAGGAAATACTTGAGTTCACAAGTAATCCTATCAAATCTACTTGAGTTCGCAAGCAAACCTAATCAAAATTAATAAAACAGCGAGAAAAATCAAAGAATCGTCGTAGAAAAACAAGCACACGATAGCAACTTCTTTATAGAAAGCAAAAGGGAGCAAACGTAAAACAAGATGCAAGAGATCCTCAATTCCAGAGGAGGGTCGTCTCACCCAAATCTCTAGACAAGAGATGTCTAGAGCCCAACACCAAGAACCCTAATTTCCAATCAATCAAAACATGAAACTCCCTAATTCCCTCATCCCCTTTAATACAAGATACTTCCTAATTTATTTTCCCTCCCAAACCCTAGCCGTCCACTCCGTTTGAATTTTTTATTCAATTTGAATAATGGGGCCCGCCCCATTAGGTGGACCAAGCAGAGGAGGCGGAAGCCTCCACCTCCTATAAACCATGTGAGCCGGCCCCCTTTGGGCCGGCTGGAGCTGGACCAGTTCATTGTGAACCGGTCTAACACTATCTTGGTTTTCCAAAGGTCCACCTTTAAATCCTATACAAAGAATCCCCGCCCTTAATCTTTTTTGGTGCTCGAAGAACCAATGCTGCCTATAATTTTGTTCTTTAAAACATACAAAATTATAAGTATCCTACGTTGAGAGAAAGGTGGCAAGCTCTAGAAAACACCTTTCAGTAACCCTCATCAAAATCCCAAATTATTTGATATTAGGCATAGATCCTTGCTTATATGTTACATGGTTTAAAATTGTGCAATAAGAGGCGCGCCTCAGCGTAATTTCGCCTCTTTAAGCCTTAAAGCCCATGCAAAGAGTTCAGGATTTGAGGCGTACGCCTCAAGTTTACTGAGGCTCGCCTCGCCTCACAGTTAAGAGGCGTCCGCCTCTAAAAATTAAAAAAAAAAAAAAAAAAAAAAAAAAGCTAACCTAATATATATTTCTTTAGTTCGGACCCCCCAGCCCCCGCGCGGTCTTCCGTCATTTCCAAAAATAGGTTTTCAACCTTCTTCTTCAAGCGACCTTTTTCCCTCTTTGTTCGGCGTCAGCTTCCTTCCACCGTGAGTTGCTCTTCGCCTATTTCTTGGAGTTATCTTCTACCACAAGTTGGGTTGGAGTCTCCTTCGACCAACCACTGAAAGCTCTTCTTCTTTGTGATTCCATCTATCACCTTATTTTGAAATACAAGATCGATATGTTCTGCCATAAGGACCTCCATATTCTGCTGAGTAAGATTCCACAATCGGTCTGTCTGCTCGGTATCGCTTGGTATCGCTCTGTATCGCTAGGTACATGCTCGGTACCGCTAGGTACAAGCTCGGTACCACTCGGTATAACAATGTTTGATACCACTAGGTACATGCTCGGTACAGCTCAGTACATGCTCGATACCGTTTAGTATCTTTCCATACAAACAACTTACAAACTTTAAAAACAAGCAGAACTTCAAAATTACTTTTACAACAAAAATTTGTTTCGGGGGCAGTGCCCCCGAAAACCCCCGCATGGGCGCTACCCCTTGACCCCTCGACCTGACCGGGCAGGTCGAACCCCACCAAGGGGCAACGCCCCCTTGGACCACCTGCAGACAAATATATTGTTGTATTCATCACCTTTAGTAATAGTTGTTAGTGTTAGTCTGCTTCTTCATGAGTGCATGCTTTGTATAAGTTTTCTTAATATAGAATAAGTGAAACATTATATTTAGTGATTCGATATATTGCACTAATATATTCTTCTCATAAAGGATGGTCAAAAGTAAGAATAAAGTTGCATCATATCATAGAAAAGATCCAGCTTGGAAACATAACACTCAGGTGGATGTAGGGGGAAGTGATAAAACATATATCTATCTAAAATGCAATTATTGTGATGAAGTTGTGAAGGGGGGTGTGACTAGGATGAAGGATCATCTTTCAAAATCCCATAAGAATGTTGTTCCATGCTCCAAAGTTCGTGATACTGTAAGGGAGGAGATAAAGTCATACATGAATAAGTCTGCCACGTCAAAACATCTTGCATGGAAGCAATTTGAGGATAGAGTAAATGTTGGCTCTTACTACAAGAATGAGCGCAGCGTTAGGGATTCATCTTCTTCGATGAAGGGGTGCTAAAGGGCCTATGGATCATTATATGGTGGATACATCAGAGGATATGCCTCCTACTACACAGAAGATGGCCCTAGAAAATGCAAGGGAGGCACGGAGAAGAGTGTGCAAGGATATAGACAGATTTTTCTACGAAAATGCAATTCCATTTAATGTTGTAACATCACCTGCCTATTACAACATGATTCGTTCAGTTGGAGCATTTAGAAGAGGGTTCAAACCTCCAACTATGTATAATTTGAGAACATAGATTCTGAAGGAGTTGGAAAGCACTGATAAAAGCATCGAAGAAATTAAGAGAACTTGAGCCTAAACAGGAGTAACAATTATGTCATATGGGTGGTCTGATATCAAACATAAAAGTTTGATCAACATTCTCATTAATAATCCTTATGGTACAGTATTTTTATGGTCAGTTGAAGCATCTGACCAGGTCAAAGATGCTGAGTTTATATTTGGATTATTAGATAGCATTGTTGAGGAGGTTGGAAAACATTTAGTTGTACAAGTTGGTATAGATAATGCAAGTGCTTACAAGGCTGCAGGTAACAAATTTATGGAGAAGAGGAAACATCTGTACTGAATTCTATGTACTGCACATTGCATAGATCTGATTCTTGAGAAGCTTGGGGAGCTACCTCAACATAATAATGCACTTACTAAAGCAAAAAAAATAACCAAATTTATTTACAACAACTCTTGGGTTCTAGCTCTTATAAGAAAACTTTCAAAGAAATAAATTCTAATGCCAGCAACAACATGATTTGTCACAACTTACTTGACCTTAGAGAGTATGTTGGATGCTAGACAACCTTTAGAGGCTATGTACACAGTAGTTGAGTTGTGCTTAGGCGAAAAAGGCTGAGGGAAAAGAGATTAGAAAGATTGTTTTAAATAATAGATTTTGGCAAAGTATCTTATATGTCATTACAACTACTAGACCTTTGATTCATGTTTTAAGGATTGTGGATGCTGAAAAGAAGCCTGCAATGAGTTTCATCTACAATGTCATGGATGAAGCCAAAGAAATAATTGCCTCCAACTTAGGAGGCAAAAAGGGTAGTTTTAGGAAAATTTGAAATATTAATGATGATAAGTGGGAGCTACAACTTCACCGGCACTTGCATGCAGCTGGTTATTACCTAAACCCTCAGTATCAATATGCAGAGAACAAGTCTACAAACCCTGAAATAAAGTTGGGATTGTATCATTGCATGGATCGGCTAATAAGTGATGCAACTGAAAGATCAAATGCTGACATATAATTGGTACATTTTAAAAACAAAGAAGGCTTTTTTGGATTACAACAAGCAAAGGATACAATTGTCAAACGATCTCCAGGCAATTTTATTTAATGTTTTAAACATTTATTTGAAAGTTCTTTTTTTCGCACTAATTAAACTCTCTCATATAAATATTAGTTGAGTGGTGAATTCAATTTGGTGATGGGACTCCATAATTACAGCATTTTGCTATAAAAGTTTTGAGCTTGACATGTTCTTCATCTAGTTGTGAAAGAAATTAGAGTAGCTACAACCAAGTATATACAAAGAGGAGAAATCGCTTGTCCACATTGAAGATTAATTCACTGGTGTACATTATGTACAATAGGAGACTCAGAGATAGGAATTTGAAAAAAAAAAATAGAATTAATTGATGATGAAGATCATCTGCTTTGCGAGGATGTGACATCTGATGATGAGTGGTTTGTAGATGATGAAGTTGAAGTGATGCCATCTGAATTACAAGATAAAGATTTAAATGTTGATTTCTTTGATGGTCTTAAAGCATCTACATCCACCACAACTCAATAAAGGTATATAAATATTATAGTTTTATTAGACTTTTATTAATGATTTACATTATTATTTATTTTGAATTGTTCAAAAATATTTAGGAAAGAGGAAGATAACTGATATTGAGGAAGAAGGACCTGATTGGGAGACAGTGGACTCTACAGGAGAGGAGGAAGGGGAGAGAGCAGTTCATCACAATGATGATTCAAATGAAGAACCCCTTAGTGACGACAGTGCTGATGACTAA